GTCGGGCAGGGGCAGCCGAGAGCGGCAAGGCTGGGGTGACCGGGAAGCGGGGGCGAAGGGCACCAAGGTGCGAGTGGCCGCTTGGAGAGGAGGCCTTTGAGCCGAGAGCCCTCGCGGCCCTTCTAGAAACGTGTGCAAGCAGCGAACTGGGCTTCACTTTGCTCTAAACCTGCAGATGCAGTTTTATTCCTTAAAGGTTGCTTAAAGAGTGTGATATCTGGAGTTTTGTAGGGAGTCTAGTTTGAGAGAGCCAACACGTATCCCTGATGCTGGGCATCACTGAAAAATGAGGTTTTGTCTTCTCCCTCTCTCCTTATTAAATGATCGCTAACTTTCACATGCAGAGCAGCTTCCTGGGTCTTCCCAGCCCTCGAGTGCAGCACCCCCTGTCTAAGACGGCCTCAGCAAGCAGCGCGTTTGCATTATCCGCTTCATACACAGGGAAGCGGCGGGGAAACCGGTGTCACCGCTCCCTTACGCAGGAGGGAGGGAGGGAGGTTTGGCAGGCGGATCGGGCGTTCGTCAGCTGCAGAGCAGGTAGGTGGGAGAGCCGGCTCCCGGCCGGCCTAGGCTGGCGCCTCGCGTAGCCGCAGGGGCTCCTCACCGTGCCCCGCGCGGCGTCTCCACCAGGAAAGCGATAGGGCTTCCCTAGCTGGAGATCTAGAGGTAACGTTCTCCTTTACCAAAATAAAAAGCGGGTTTTGCTCTGAAACAGGAGAGAAAAGGACTGTTAAGATGAAGTTCTTGGTGGCTACCCCACACTTTGCGGATGATCCTCTAAAGGTGAGCGGGACAGTACCTGCTAGAGTTAATTGTGTTTGTTCCTCCACTCTAAGGCCTGTTTGGCATCGAGAAGGAGCCTCTACAACGGCCTAACTCTGCAAGGGATGGGCTCAGAGAACAGCGCTTTAAAGAGCTACACGCTGCAAGAACCGCAGTTTACGCTGCCAACCGGACGCACGATTTACCCAGCCGTGCTGCAGGATGGCAAACGTGCTTCGGTCTTTGTCTACAAGAGAGAGAATGAAGATACAGTTAATAAAGCTGCCAAGGTACTGTAGAAAGCGTGCGGGGGAGAAGACTCCTTGGAGCTTTAGCTCCTCTTTCTAGGAGCAGCGATGGTCTGACAGCTCTGGATGTCAGAGCCTGGAGGGGTAGGAAGGAGGCACTGCTGAATTTGGCCATGGTTGAATGTAGCTGCCGCGTAACGGGGAAGAAGGGGGACGGCAGCAAAGCTCCTAGTGCGCTGCTTCCCACCAGCGGCGATGGGAAGGGGGGGTCGGATAACAACACCTGCATTCGTTTGTGGAAATTGGATCTCCTCCTGCAGATCTCTGAAGACGGGGAATTTCTTAGGTGGACTATACCTAAAACACTGTGCTTGTTCTTCTGTGTAAAACTTTGTAGCTAGATGTGTTGTGAAAGGTTTTGCAGAGTGAATAAGCAAGTGTGCCAAGTGCCTGGCAAGGAGCTGGGATGGGCTGCCTAAATTCAAGCAGACAGTGTGGCTGAAGGTGTGTGGTTACCCTCTGAGGTCAAGACAGATGGTTTTGATTTTTTTTTTCTTTTCTTTTTCTTTCTTCTTCTTTGTAAGCACCTGAAAACCTTGCGCCACCCTTGCCTTCTACGCTTCCTCTCCTGTACCGTGGAAGCAAATGGGATCCACCTGGTCACAGAACGTGTGAAACCCTTGGAGATGGTCCTGGAGACTCTCTCTTCTGCTGAGATCTGTGCAGGGATCTACGATGTGCTACTGGCTCTCATCTTCCTCCATGACAGGGTAGGTGCCGAGAGAAGGAGTCCTGACGCTTCCCCAGGGGCCAGGTGAAACATGACAGGAGGGGTTCATAACACAGAGACAGGCCCAAAGCCCACAATTCTTTTACGCTGAAACCGCTAAAAACATTTGCTGCCTTTTGGAAGGAATAGTAAATGAAAATATGGTGATCTTAGGAGCACCAGTTGCATTGCTTCACGCCAGTTTCACTCAGCCTCAGTGTTTTTATAGCTGTTGCCTCATGTCAGATACACGTCCCCTGTTTGGCCTTACGTGTTTGTCTGAGGCTGGAGATAAATCCCAGCCCCGACTGTAGTTTTCAGGCTTTGTGTTTGCAGTTGGAGGTCTCCTCTGCGCTTACAGGGCTGTGGCCGTGAAACTGCTCTGAACCCCCAGCCCTCCTGTGCGATACCTGCTGGTCCCCTTCAAAATCCTTTTTGAACCTGTAGAAAGGTGTTGTTGTTAGCAGCTTTTCCTTATTTATTCACAACACCTAATTAGCACTACTAAACATATCTTCACCTATCTCCAAGTCTTTTATTTTTTTTTATATATATATTTTAGGGAAACTTAACACATAACAATGTGTGTTTATCATCTGTCTTTGTAAGTGAGGATGGACACTGGAAACTGGGAGGAATGGAAACAGTCTGCAACTTTAATGAAGCCACGCCAGAGGTAAGAGACAAGTAAATCGTGCCCCTCTGACGCCTGCAAGAGGCTCCTGGTCTGCTGCGGTTGGCTCGCTGATGATGGGAAGGCCCAAGTCCCAGTTCCTTCCAGTTTACTGTTAAACGCCTTGGCTCCCTTCCCACTCTGACCTGAATCTTTGCTCCAAGGATGCTATTACTATAAAAAACAATGTCTGCATAAACACAGAAACTCGTTCCTCATTAGCTAAAAAACTAGCTTTCAAAAGGAGGCAGAGCTGCCCGGAGGATAGGTTAAGAGTACAGACAGGGAGACATCTTTGTTCCTCTGGACTTACTTAAAATAAACTGCTTTACTAGGAAGGTGCTGGTTGAAAGGAATCCAAACTAAAAATAATTAACTTTTGCTGCTGGCATCTTTATTGCTTGTTAGTGATATTGGCAGAAAGATGCCTGGTCTGATTGCTGCTGCGTGTTGTGCAGAGTCATTGCTGCAGCCTGGCACTCGGTAGTGGAAGCATATTGCTCTTTCTCCCAGAAAATCCACAGTCCTGCAGCAGCTGTGCTTAGTGCCCTGGCAGGGTGGCCTTTCAGAAATCAGCAGGCAGGTGCAACAGTGGTGCACAGCGACGCAGAGGGCAGCAGTAACACCTGCCTGCTGCAGGCCATGCCACCCTCCTCCTGTGCGGGCGGGTGGTGTGGGGCCTGAGGAGCTGAAGGGACGAGCTGGCAGCGATGCCCCGAGGTGCCTTCGTGCCAGCGTGGCCTTTGGCAGCTGGCGCTGAGGCGCTCATGGCAGAGCAGAGCACAGGCCAGCGGGGCCCGCGGCTCCCCGCGGCCGGCCTGGCCCGGGGAACAGACGGAGGCAGCTGATGTCTCCCTCTCCTCTCTGCAGTTCCTCCGTCACGTGAAGTCTGTGCGAGACCCATCGTGCATCCCCTGCGAGGAGATGGTGGGTACTTGTCCAATTTGAAGGTTGCCAGAGGAATTTGTTGCTAGCAAGAAATTAGCACAACGCGTTCAGAAAAGAATTTTGACTCACCTGGTTTATCTCTTCATACCTGAATAGAGTGGCCTTTGCGTAATACCTGAGTCTTACTTCCCCCCACCTGGGCATGGTGTTGGGCACAGGGAACAGAGACTTTGAACAGGCAGTAATGGAAGAGCAAGTTCTTGAAACTATTTATGGTATTTCATGTTGCAGCTTTAATGCTTCTGAGAGCAGTTGCTGAGATCACTGTGATAACACAGTTACGTTGCCCTCTCATGTCTAACAGCCTCTTTTTATTCTATTTCTCTTTTTTTACTTGTTAGTGGCCTTCCCTATTAAGCATCCTATGAGCTACATATACTAAGGGGATGAGATCTCCATCTGATTAACACCTGTTTCCATAGAAATGCTGAAAGTTGTTGACTTGTAATTGCCGTGTGCCTTCACGAGGGAATTGTTACATCCTGATGTAGTCATTCCTGTGGGCTATAAATTCCCTGGTGGAGGGCTTTCCAGCGGAATATTCTACTTGTAGGGTACTTCGTGAGCTTTGGAGCTATAAAAAGAATTGAAGGGTGTGCATGGGAGGGTGGAGAGGGATTCATGGAAACTACCGAGTATTTTGTAAACTCCTGCTTTGATGATGATTATTTCTTTAGTCCACAGATTTCAAAATTCTCCCCAACAGCCATGGATACGCACGGGATGCTTATGCCTTTGGAATGATGGTTGAAAACCTCCTGACTCTCCTAAATGATCAGGGTGAGGAATGGAATGAAATATGATTTATTTTTCTGCCAACAATATTGCATAACTTATTCTGTACATGCACAAACTGAGATATTTGCAGCTCCTACTTGTTGCAGCTATGTATTGTGGGTGATGTGCTGCAGGGATGGTGGGCAGATTTGTTGTTCATGTTTGCCAGGAGTTTCCAAAATACGAAGTACTTCTGTACAAGTTCCTCCTTTTTCCTGCTTCACCTTCTTAGACAAAAGTCTCTTTGGGGGAGAATGTTGGTTTCTTGCTTACAGACACCAGTATGGACCCTATTGTAGGAGTCACAGTCCCTGGTGGGACAGTGTCCTGTTTGACTGGGAGCTGGCTGTGGTGGAATGGATCAGGAGTGTTGGGTTAGTGCAGGCAGAGGTTGTGCCTGTTCTGGAGTCTTGCCTCCTCCTGCTTACCTATGATAAACTGCATAATTTTTGAGGTAGCTTCTTCCTTCCTTCTCCTCAGCTGAGCATAACAGCAGCTTCCTGGATGAGGAGGCAGGAGTGAGTTTTATCTTGCAAAGGAGATGAGAACTGAGTCACATGGGTTAAAATACAGCCCTAAGTTTCTCCTGTGTTCCCCTCATCCTGCTTTTGAGCATGGTCACGTGTGCTCTCCTAGGCCTGGCTGCAGGTCACCAGCATGCACAACACACGCGCTCTCAAACTCATCCACAGCTTCTTTACTTGCTGCCTGTTTACTATTAAAACTCTTTGGTAGCCCAGTAGCTCAGCAGCTTAGGGAGAAAAATGTGAATGTTCTTCCTCCTTCCTTTGGGGCAGGACAGTAGAGATGTGAGCAATTCAGTAACTCGCTGTCAGAGTTTCTAAAGGGAAGTTTTCAGGAGGAGTGGGGGATCTCTGACCATAGTATGTTCTGTGCTGATAAAGAAAGCTAACTGTAAGTGCTCTCTCTGGCTTCTTTCAGTTTCAGCAGATATTCTCTCCAGCTTTCAGCAAACGTTGCACCGTACGCTACTGAATCCAGATCCAAAGTGTCGTCCACCACTGTCCAGCTTATTGTCGCATGAGTTCTTCAGGTAAGAAAAGGACTATCGTGCCCGTCTTGGTATGTCTTGGTACTGCTTATTGCTGCATCGCCAGTGTATAATCAATGTCCCAAACATGGTATTGAGCTAGCAGTGGTGACAAAAGTGGGTCCTTCTGTCACGTGCAGCTGGTCAGATCCCCTCAAACTCATGGGAGGAAATGGGGAGTGCGCTAGGAAACAAACAGACCCAGTGCTACATTGAGGGTAGCACTGGGTAAAGGAGGCTTTGAGGTAGCCTGCCTAGACCTGTGTCTGCTGTCCCTTAAGTTTTTCTCCTGATGGTGGCATTAGAGCAGGCTGGGCACTGCTCTGCTTATTGCCCTGGGTGGTGGTCAGAGAGGGCAAGGGCAGCCTTGTCTGCATCTCCCTGTCATTGCTGACTCCTGACGTGTCAGCTGTACTTCGACACGGGGAACATGCAGGTGGTGGGTGACAGGCCACACTGTCACAACAGTGCTCTCGGTCCATCAACATTTGACTTGCATCTCCCTTTGTTTCTGTCTCCTAAATAATGGGGATTTGTGAATTCTCAGTTTGGATAGTATAGGCATCATCATCAAGCATCGTGCTTAGCTGCCTACATTTTTATCCTTAGGAATGACTTTCTGGAAGTTGTGAACTTTCTGAAGACCTTAACGCTAAAGTCTGAGGAGGAAAAAACTGAATTTTTCAAGTAAGCCAAAGCTTTTCATTTCAGAAATGCTTCTGCCAAATAGGATCTTGGGGGCCACTTGGAAGGCTAGTGGCCTGAAAGGTTCTTCCTCAGGTGCCTGATGTGGATCATTGCTGATTTGGATCATTTTGAGCATTTGCTCTGTAATGTAGTAGTTTGGGGAATCTAAGACAAACTAGTGCTTGCATCAGGGGAAACCCTTTCTTCCTCACTTTTGTAATGTCTCATTGGGAATGGTTTGGTGTTTGGGAGGAGCAGTGCCTGCTGGCCTCTCTAGGCTACCAGCCTCTGGAATGGTGCTGTGGACAGCCAGATGAACAGCACTGTTTACCTTCTATGGGCCAATAGCTATTGCTGAAGAATCAGGCAAAAACTGGACTGCAGTCAAACACAGTGCACTTGAAGTGTGCTCTTTTGAAACCCCTCCGCTCTCTAGCAGTTTGTTTGAACTCCTGCAGGGCTAAGAACAGAAACTTTCCCCAGGGTAACTGGGATGTAAAAAGAAAACAATGTTCCTGTTGTCTGTAAGCTCTTTCCATTGTGCTCTAAATGAGGTGATTCACTCTGTGGGGAATGATGTTGATGTTATTAGCAGGAGAGGTTTAATTGTTCCACTTTTCCTCCATTCGTGTTAGCAAGACTGCCTCATCTCTCACTGTACTGTGGCTAAGCAGGAATACAAAGGCCACCTGCTCACCTAGGTTCAAAGTCTTCACTGTAGAAGGTCAGAGAACTTCTTTCAGTGTGACTGGAAAAAGACCCAAATCTTTCGCTAACTTTGTTCTTGACAGTAGCTTCATCAATTCAGATGAGAATTTGCAAAGTGGAATCTATCACCAGGCACTGCTTGAGGCTGACAGCTTCAGTGTAGTCACGACATAACTGAGCTAGAGAAAGGGAGAAGCTGAATTTTTCTTGCTTTTTATGTACTAAGGAGGTCTGAGGGTTCTTACAGAGCTGTTTTCCTACTTGTTTTATACTTCTGTAGCCACCATCATTAATAAGGCTAGCTTGATTTCACTGGTTTGGAACTTAGTTGAACCAAAGAGGAGGAGAAAGGGAATCTTTGCAGGAATATTCAGCTGGACAGAGTGGCCTGCTTGTCAGAGGAGCTGATCGCATCACGACTGGTGCCTCTCTTACTCAATCAGCTCGTGTTTGCTGAACCTGTAGCTGTCAAGAGTTTTCTTCCTCATCTGCTCGGTCCAAAGAAAGGTGAATATTAAATACTTTATCTTCAAAATTTTCGCTGTAAAGTTTGGAGTGAGTTCAGAGAACAAACAGATTAATGGTGTTTAAGCATAACAAATACTGGAATGCACAGGACTGGTTATTCCACATATTGGGAAATACCAGCTTCCCCATTTGCAGTAGGGTTTTAACTGCTCTACTGATGCTGGGGAGAGAACTAGAAATTGCTTATCCTCTTGTTTTGGAAGAGTCCTGCCTTGCCTGTCCTGCCTCCCTTCCTCCTTTCTTTCCTCCCTTGCTTCTCTGCTCCCTTTCTTCCTCTCTTCCATCTCCTCTGATATCCCAAGAAAGTGAGTTGCCAGCTGACTGTGCAGGGAGCCACGACAAAGAACTGGACCTGGCAGCTGGTGACGCTCTAGATCTCCGCTCTGGAATAGTTCTGGGATGGGCTGTCTCTGCTTTGTGAAACAGCCTTTTCCCACTTTTCACCTCTTTTCCCTAGAGCAAACTGGAGAAAGCCAAACCAACTGCCTGCTGTCACCAGCCTTATTCCAGACTCACGTGATCCCTGTGCTGCTGAAACTCTTTGAGGTTCACGAAGAGCACGTCCGAATGGTGTTGCTGTCTCACATCCATGCCTACGCAGAGCTGTTCTCTCGGGAGGAGTTGAAAAACATCATATTGCCACAGGTTAAGGACAGTGAAACCATATGGGGCCTCTGCTGCTAGGATCAGTTGTGCTTTATAGTTCAGATTTTGCAGTCTTGGCAGCACCTTGTGCAAGCTTTGTCTTAGCTGCCCCCTCTACCAGAAGCAGCCATCATGGATTCCAGTTTTAGCAACCCCCATTGCCAGCCTTGCTTGTGCTGCTCAATTCATGTGGTGATTTCATATCTTACACCAGCAGTCAGGGCTGCTGTTTCTGGTCTGAGGGCTTCCTTGTCCTCCCATCCTGCCCCACCTTCACCAGTTGAGCTAGTGTTGCCTAAGAGTGTGCAGCACCCTCTTCCATGTCAGTCCTGAGCCTTGCACCCCTCTCTGCAGCACTGAGCCCCACTGCAAGTAAGGGATGTGAGGAAATCTTAGAAATGAAATGTGCTACAGATGTAGCATCTAATGGGAGAAGACTTTTTTAAAAAAAAAAAAAGGCAAAATTTTCTGTTTTTAGTAATATTCTCATGTTCCTCTTGCAGGTATTGCTGGGCCTTCGAGATACCAGCGACTCTATCGTTGCAATAACTCTGCACAGCTTAGCAGTTCTCGTCTCCCTGCTCGGACCCGAGGTAGTTATAGGTGGTGAAAGAACTAAGATTTTCAAAAGCTCTGCACCAAGTTTCATGAAAACTACTGATCTCTCTCCAGAAGGTAAATGATGTACTCAGTCCTTGGAATTCCCATCATGTTGTTCGTGCTTGTCCTGTCCAAGCCTTGTAGGCAAAATTACTTGGGTGATCTCTGGCTGTTGACAGGTTTAACAGAAAGAAGCAAATTTGCAGCTAAACTTCGATTCTAAATTAGGTGCTAGCTGTTCTGGGTGTTTGTCTTTGTAGAAAAACTATAGTGTTCTTTATGAGCTTACAGATATATATGTTTTTATTCCTCTGTCCTGCATGTTTTTAAAATGAGTAAATCTCATCCTTCAATCCTCTTCCCCCCAATTTTTATTCATAGATTGGAAAAGGAATACGAACTTCCCTATTATCTCAACTCTCAGGAGGCTTTTCAGCTAACCCAAAGGAAGAAAGTAGTCCCTGCATCTGCTAGCTAACTTGGAGCCAAGCATACTAAAGCTTTTCTGGATTTTGAAATGAAAAGTGCTTTCAGTTGGAGGGAAAAAATCAGCTTTTGCTCTGCTTTAGACGTGAAGTCTAAATACCAAATGAAATGGCATGCTAGAGAACAACTTAAGTAGAAATGTTGCTCCTGAATCTGTATGTATTGACAAATAGCACCCTCCATTAAAAACTCTAGATGGTTCATTGCATTATTTTCCTTTACATTATTTTAACAACTTTACTAAATGAATATCATCAGATTTCATGCTGGCAACCTGTTCCTCTTTTTCAAAAGAATATCAGTAGCTCTGACTTAAATACTGAAGAATAAGAAAAAAGAAAAAACAAAACCTGTCCTTAATTGTGAGTGGCACCCTGCAAAAAACAGCACTAAAGGCTGAACAGGGAGGCTCAAAAAGAGATTTGTTTAAGCGCCTCAAAGCACGCACGTTTTACCAAGGATGCTTTGGGCAGGGTTGGCTCTCTGTTAATTGCAGTCCTCTCCTGTGCTGCATTTGGTGCTTTTCTGACTGTTCTGATAAGCCCTGGCACAGGCAGGTACAAATAGGCTTTACACACTTGGCACTGGGCTAGGCCATCCTCCATAAAGCTCTTTCCGACTCTGCCTAGGCTGCCGTCGTGGCAATGGGGCCTCGTGCAGCCCAGGCCAGCACTGCCAAGTCATTGCCGTCGGTGAGAGTGCGCGGCTCCCGGCAAGGAAGCGCAGCTGGCTGCTTGCCAAGCTGCTGCAGAGCCGAAGCGTGAGCCTTTGCTGCCCATCACGGGCACTTCGGGTGAGGGTATGATAGAAGCAAGGCTTTTAATGCAGCCTTTGGATTGTGTGTTGTTAGCCCGTTGTTCATGGAAACTGCTTTACTCGAGTCCAAGCATAAAAGAAGGCTGGTGCAGTAGCACGAGGTTGCTTATGCTTCACCTTTTTGTGACTGTCAACTCTGTGCTTTCTCATGAGCAGCACGTAAGAGGCGTTTGTGATGCTACGCAGTGTAGAAGCTGGTGGTCTGGATCCATCTAGCTGACAGACCTGTTAAATCAGTAGTAGTTTGTTCTCTGGGTGTTTCTTGAAAGAAGGTACAGAAGCTGACCCTTAATTCACAATTGCTTAAACTTTGGATTGGGAAGAGCTGCAGACTAGGAGAAGAGAGGATTGCTTCATAAGCAGATTGAGAAATACAGCTGTTGCATTGCAACCTCTATCTTTATTCATTGTTTTGCCTCTGTTGTAGGTAAGAGCATTCCTGTGCTGTGAGGAGTTTCATGGTTTATGGAATTGGTGTCCTCTTATTTTGCTTTATTCCTGCAGTGTCCCCCACTCATGTCGTAAGCAACCCGAGACATCCAGCGCCTCGGCCCTTGAAGAGTAACGTTAGCGTGTTCCCTGCCTCTGGAAACGGCCCTGCCAAGAAACAATCTGTGCAACAAGACAGTCCCCTGGCTTTAAAGACAGGTAAAACCTTGCACCAGCTGTTCCTTTTTAGAAATGAAACAGCATAGAAATGAAAAATCCCAACGAACATGACTTTTTGTACTAGCTTAATTCCATACCAGGTGCTACCTGCAATGGCAAGGATTTCAGAGAGTTTTAGGCACAGCTTCATGCTTGTCCTCCTGAAAGAGTATGTAATATCCTTGTCTTCCGTAGGTGAACGAGACGTTCTGCTGCCTCTGAATGGAGTTCCTGGAAGCATTAACCCACTAGGGAGCATCAGGAGTTCTTTGACTGCCTCTGAAAAGCCAGCAGAGGAGTGGCCAGACTGGAGCGAGGCAGAGGAGACGGACACTGAGAAAACTGTGAACATCCAAATTCAGCCCCGAGAGTCAGAGGGGAGAGTGGGACCTTACTTTGCTAACCACAATGTTGATGAGAAGCCATGGGATGACCTCGAGCCCAGCAGCCCTAGCCCTGAACTGTCCTCAGGAACCTGCCTCACTGTGACACAAGCTGATGCAGTTCAGCTGCAGAGGCCTCTACCAAGGACCCATGCACTGAGCCAAGAATTTAAAAGCCTCAAACTGAGTTCCCCCCCAAAGTCTCACTCTGGGAGTAGTTGGAGCAGTGACAAGTGGGACCCCCAGGAACAACTGGGAGAGACTTTTCAGGAAAAGTCCAAGTCTTTATCAGAGTCTGGTCTAGGAGAAGAGTTCACTATCCAAGTGAAAAGAAAACCAGTGCAAGACCCAGAGCTAGACTGGTTTGCTGACATGATCCCAGACATTAAACCATCTTCAGCAATCTTGATTTTACCTGAAGTGAGGACAGAAGAAGTTGCTCCCACTCACTCTGGTGCAGTATCCAGCAGAGAAGGCGCCTCCCAGAATATGCTGTTTTCATCCAAATTTGCAGCAATTGATGTTACTGAGGTAAGAGTCTATGGGCAGTGGGGTTTAAGTGACTGTACATTTGAGAAGGTTTCTAAAGCCTGTACGCACCACACCGTACAGCGCTGGCAGGAGCAGCATGGTTAACCTGAATAAGTGTGAGTAACAAGTGATGGTGCAGGCGAATCTTTGCCTGTGAATACAGGGTTTCTAGCTGTGAATGATGTATTTAGCAGGCTGTCTTAGTACTGAAACAGAGCCATCACTCATAGATTTATACCCTACTGAAAGCATGAAATAAGGTGTTTTTGCTGCTAGAACCCTGCATTATTTTTAGGAGAGTCTTGGTTTGCCAGATAGGGGAGGTAAAATAAAGAAGGCTTTCATGCATAGAGGAGGTTCTGGGCTCAGTGTTGCTCCCTGGACCCTTCTAGGAAAAGCTAAAAAAGGAACAGGCTTCTCTGGCTTGCTGAGAAAAGCTTTTGGGCTGCCTGATTTTCAGGAAGAAACAGCTGAGACATTTCACCAATTTCAGAGAACCAGCAGGGTTTCAAAACTGCCTTTTTGAGTGAAAAGGTAAATTCCTGTAGCCCACCTCGAATACTCAAGAGGCTACTTCCTTCTGCTAGAAGAGCTAGCGCTGCCATCACTGCTAGCTGAGCACACGGTTCCATTAGGGAATAAGTGTTGATTTCAAGGTGTTTTCATAACTCAACCTCAAGAGGCCTCCCACAGAGGAGCAGAGTTGTTTACAAGGTCTGAAAATGGCACAAGTGATTTTTAAGCAGCACTGTTTTGACATCCATCCCCTTTTTGGGTTGCTCATCATGGTGTAATGCTGTCATGTAGTTGCAGAGCTGTGTCTGTGAGACAATTTAGTGTTTAGAAAGGAAGGATAGCAAATTCCCTGGTACTTTGCTTTTTAATTTTAAGGTGTTTCCTTTTATTGGTAGAGGCTCTTAAGCCAGGAAGCTGCAAACATTAGCACCTCTTGGTCTCTGAAAGGGGCTTTCAGGTACTCCAGCTTTCTCTGTGAGCACCCCTTGTGAGAGTGCCAGGAGCTCCAAGAGGCAGGGAGAAGCTGTCTTTCCCTTGCAGGATGCTTAATAGTCGTCCAGCTCTCAACAGTAGCCACCCAGGGCACTCCCTGTCCTGCTTCTTCCTGCTTCTTTGGCCCTTGGATGCCCGAGTTCGTTTTTTAGCAGAGTTAAGGACAGGACATGTGCCTTACTGCTGATAACTTGTACATGATTCCAGGCAGAAGCCACAGGCTGGGGCGAAGAGGAGGAGTTGAACTGGGAAGATGACACTAACTGGTAAGGAGCGTGAGAGAGACAAGGGCTTCACAGTGTGTTGGATTCCCTACAAGACGACGTTGCCTCTACTGTGTCATGGATAAGTACCTCAGCACTGCTTAGCTGAAGGCCGCCACTTGCTGCAGCAGTCAGCAGGATCTGCCACAGGGCCTGAGCCTTCCCTTGCAACGGGTGCTCTGTTCCAGCCTGTGCCAAAAACCGCAGGGGTGAGGCCTGTGCTCGAGCAATACGCCCAGCTGCAGCGCACGCCGCGGCTCCGGGCGCAGAACAGCCGGAACTGTGCGCTGGTGCTGGTGTCTGCTGGAGGATGAGGGGTTAAGCTACTGTCCTAGAAATCATCGCTGCTCTGAAAACTGATGACAATAAATGAAAGTTATATTCAGTTATTTTGTTAATGTGCCGTTTTTTTTCAGAAGAGCAAAGCCATTAGAAATGACTCCTTCTAACTTTTTTCTATAAGGTGGTTTTCAGAGGAATGTACAGTTTACTCCAAATATTTATATCTGTTTATAAGGTTCTGTCAGTGGGTGGCCCAAGAAATGCTAGGAAACTTGCAATGAAGGACAGTTAAACACAAGCTGATCTAAAAGTACTGCATTCATTCTGCTCTTAACTGTGACCAATAAAGATTATTTTTAAAAGATGACCTTACTGTGGAGTGGAACAGCAGCACAGGTGTATTCAGTGAACAGCTTGGAGTCTTAAATTGTTGAGTATATTTTAAAATGAGTATAGAAAATGTCTACTACCATCTCACCTGTACATGACAGAAAAAAAAATGTAGTAGTTCTACATGTTGAAACATCTTTAAAATAATCTCATTAAATGTTTGGCATTATACAGAATGTTAGAAAAATAAGCTATACAGTGGCACTATACAAAATGACAGATGCAAAATAAGCTCAGATGCAAAATAAGAGTCCGGTAAGTGCATCAATCCTTCCAAACTGTTACTGTGAAAGTGTCCGCCACCTCACACACCAGTTCCCTGTGGTGTATTAACTACCCTTTAACTGTATGGTAGAGCATCACGCTGTGTCACAGTTTTCCTTCTCCAATAATGGTGGTATCTCTTCCCTCCAACCATGGAGCTGAGCATTTTTAGCATGTTTAAAACCTGCTCACCACCACCTTACCGTACACTGTTCCTCAAAGTGGCTACAGCTGCATGTAGAGCCTCCAGTTTCGCTGCCAGCCATGTGGGGGGTGACCCTTTCTGGAGCAGCAGCTTCACAGCCTCCACTGCCCCCTCCATTGTGCCTACTGCTGACTTATACTGCTCCTCTGAGGGTGGGTGACATGCTCTTTTGGCCAGAGGCTGCAGATATAAACACAGAGTAGACGTCATTTATAATCCCATACGTAAGTGATTAATCCTCCTCTAACTGCACAAAAACCTCAGCTGGAGGAGACCTGCGAGAGCTCTTTCCTGCTGCCAGGCACTGCAGAGTTTTCTGGTTTAATACTAAGGGGCAGAAGTGTGCACCAGCTTTTCTCTTTGAACAAGGAGGGCAGCAGGGCAGTCTTGAACCTCTCTAGTTTCCGGAACTGACAGAAACCTAGAGGAGAGCCCAGACAGTTTAAAGAAGAGCACATACCTCTTCTGCTGGGTCCAGCTCTCCAGTCTTTTTCAGAAAATGAGCACTGTAGATAATCCTTTCTTGTTTCATGCGTTCTGTTCGTGCTTCCGTTGTCTCTTCTCCTTGCCTTGTCTAGGGAGAAAGCCCCAGGAGAGGTAACTAAACAAGGAGGCGCTACCAGCCTTCACAGGATCAGTTTGTATACCCGAACAATGGAAAATAACTTGCAGTTCAAGATGAATCTAATTCCTCCGTCACTTCTCTGAGCAGGAGATTAAAGTTATCTGCAGCTTAAGTGTACATTAGTGCCCATCAGTTCTTTTGCTAATTATCTGCTTGATAAGAACTGCTTGTCCAGAGAGCAGTTGCTTAAGATTTGCAGCCCAGTGAAGTGGAAGGAGGCAGCTGATATGTTATGAATAAATAGCCAGCTGCTTTTAATGGATTTTTTTTAACCTGCAAGCAAAAAGGACTAAGATGCTGCAGACATGTTCATTTATCTTACAGAAACTGATCAAAGATGACAGAGGAGGGAAAAATACCACACTAAAGGAATAATGGAATCCCATTCTTTTTAGTAGATACGCTCTCCATTTACAAAAATCATACTGCAAATTATTTTTGTTCTACTTAATATGACATTAGATGTGTACAACATAAACTAAGAAAATGGTAAAACAGTTTAAGCTCATACCTTAGCCAGAAAACTAACAACTTTGTTCTTCGTTTCTTCAGAATTAAGGCACTGAGGAACTACATCTTCGTGGCTTGTTTCCTGTCAAAACCATTGAGTAACAGTTGTTCAGTACATACATATTAACAAAAAAATAAAGATGAAGGAGAAACTGCTTTCCCCCGCCACCCCAATCTCGGGAGAATTCCATGCTAACAGATTGTTCTAAACAACCTAGCTCCCTGCAGTCAGGGAGGTTTAAGCCACCAATGCTTGACTTTTATTCATGTGCAACAGCAGCTGTAATGCTAAGATCCAAACTGCTCTGTGAAGAGCAGCAAACATTTACGAACAAAGAACCTCCGAATGACAAAAGTTAACAGTCAAATCTATACATCAGAGCACTGCTCTGCTTACCTCTGCAAAATGTGTGAATGCCTCCAGTGCATGCTGATGAATCAGCCATGTCTGGTCAGCTAGCAGAGAAGCAAACAAAGATGACAACTGAGGTACAACTTGCCTCTGAAAGAGAAACACATATCTATCAGACTTTACAGGACTTAGCTGTGCGTATCTTACCATCATGGAATTCAATCAAAAATCATTCTAAGGTCAAAGGATAAGTTAATGAAATTCAAAAGTGCTACTCTCCTTCCTGGCAAAAAAAAAAAAAAAAAAGCCTGAGAAAATGACTCTTTTTTTTTTCTTGGAGGTTCAAATATCTGTCCTGCCTAACCACTGAGAAGCAACACGCAAGTGAATGCACCAAGCATCTTACATGCACTTAGCACGAGTGTCTCAGTGAAAAACAAAACCACCATAGATCATTAAATAAATATGCAAGATCATTATGCCATACAGTCTTCCAAGTATTTAAATAAAAAGTACATGTTTTCATCAAAGAGATTAAATAAGATCCCCAACTATATTTACCTGGGCTTCTTGTGGTATAAACACCTTTCCCATAGAAGACAGAAAATCCAGCACTGCTAGACGAATGTGATCTGGGGGATCTAACTGGAAAAGGGAAGACTGCAGTGCAAAAACCTGCAGGAAACCCAAACAAGGATTTATCACACACTGAATACAGATGAAAACTATTCTGTCTAATCATTAAATCTGAAGACATTAATTTTAGAATACTGGATGCAAAACAAAAATAGGTATGCTACAGATTGAAGAAAACTGGCTGGTATAAATACAATGTTCCTTCTGGAGAGAAGTAACCATCTTCTGCTGCATAGCTATATATCTGCCCTATCTTGCAGAGTAACACGATTCTCAGAAGGAACATTAACCATAGTGCCATATGCTGGTTTAAAGACCATGAAAATAACCAAGGAAGAAATAAAGTTAGAAACCTCCTTATGTTAATGGAAGGCCAGACCATGAAAAATCTCATTAGAGATCTTCAATAAATCACAAAAAACACTTATTCTTCATGAAATGAATTACTCCTAAGTTTCTTACCTGAGTAATTAGTTGAGCATCTAAAGTTTGAATGAAAAATTCCAAGAGGTGAAGTAATAAGCACAGAGTCTGCTGGAGACATGGGTCATCTGACACCTGCAACAGTTCATACAGCATTAGTATCACCACTTTCAGCTCAAGGAACAACTTAATAAAGAATGTAAAATCACAGAAACATTCCAAAATTCTTAGCCTAACTTCATAGATATAAAACAACACAGAAGATTAAAGTAGTCTTAGAAATATTTTAAGGCAGTTATATTTTTCAAGGCCCTTTCCTTATATTCTTATTAAGGATCTTTCTTATATGATAGCTCCTTCTCCTCTCTTGCCAATTAAGAAGCTAAACTAAAAAGGTCAGCTTAGCCATTTCTCTCATCAGTCATTAAACGTATTCTTCACAGCCAGTCTCATATTTATTGTTTAAAGCTGCATGTCGCAGACGTGATGTTTGGATAATTCAGACTCAATGTTTCCCAGAGCACAGGCCTCATACGGACAGGCACTGTGAGGGAAGCGCAGTCACGCTGCGCTCTAGGGAACGGTCCGACTGGAGTGGAATGATCAGTACCACATGCATGGCACCAGGCTCGCAAAGCAAGCCTGCTTTCACCCTACAACAGCAACTTCTCTCACCTGCTTAGCCTGGAGAAAAGTCCAGAACTGACCAAGCACTCCTGAGATAGATGCCTGCAGCTCTCCCTCCAGAGTGTCACCAGCGGAATTACAGGCAGTCAACATGACAGCAAAAGCAGCGTTCTGGTAGGAAAAAAGGAGTACAAAAGTGACACCAAACCCCTCCCCAAAACCTACCTGTCAAACAAACCCAAACCCCAGTTTCCTATTGCACTTCTAAACTCATATGAGATGGCTGGAAGCCCAATGTGCTTATATCAGCTGTACTGTGCAGCTAATCCACCAGGCCACTGACCAATAAGGCTTCCAAATCAAGGACAGTATATTTTATTTTTCCAAGAGTTGTACGCTGAGCTATCGTAGTTAGCTACACTGTTAGGGAAAGGACGGTAGCTAATTCTTTGTGTGGAAGTCTCCACACAGTCCTCTCCCTTGCCTCAGAGACCAGCAAAGGTCTTTCAGGTAAGATGCCACATAATATATATCAGAAATTCTAAGGAAAAATATATTTGCTCATCCATAGAGAAAAGAACTACTAGCAAACTGCAAGACCCCCACCAATGGATGGAGGTCCATCCATTAGTGATGGACCTCCTCCATCACTAATATGCTACATAACAGAATGCAGCATTAAAATGACAGTCACTGCTCATGTGTTTGACAACTAGGCATGGGGAAAAAAGCTGCAGAGCAGATAAACAGAACAGGTGAGAGCAACAACAGAATCCTTATAACTTGGAAATCTGAAGTTCACACATTTTTACAGAGAATCAAACCTTCTTTACCACAGGTCGGAGCTCTGCCAAAGCGCGCCTGCTAGTCAGCCATTGCCTGCACTGTGCCAGCCCTGCCACGCAGAGCTGATGTGCCACTTGTTTCCTAAGATCAGGATTTAGGGCTTTGAGGGATATATGCTGCCACACTGCCAAGTTTTCCACTTCTTTGGGAAGAAACTTCTGAGTAAATTCTACCTGCAAATAAAAGTTAGTATGAACTAAAAAGATCATGAAAGAATTTGAACCTTGTTAAAAAACTAAGAAACCAACAATCAAAAATCAACACTCATTTGTGCTTGAAGTATTACATTAAAAATGCTTAAAACCTTTAGTTTAAAGAAAGTCTGACTTTTTGGTATTAACAAAAATCTTACACAACTGCCACCTGCCTGTCACATTAGGATTTTAGAATGATTAAGCAACTTACTCTTTCAGCCCTTCAAGTGAGAGCCCTAGAGAGTAGGAGAAACAACTTCAGCGTTATAAATGTGCATGACTTCACTAGAGACACAAGACAAAGCCCAAGTCCATACCTAGAGACCAAGTTAGAGAACTTGGAGAGTGATTCTTGAAGAACACCAACCATCTGCAATGATGGTTATTATGAGCCTACAAAACCAGGCTGCCATGCTTCCTACTTTCAGACTACCTGGCAACAAAATTTGAGCACACTTTTCACAATGTTACAGCGAACAAGCACATATATAGCCACTCTTCTTTTGCTGTGCAACTGATACGTACTGATCTGTGTCACAGTTTGTAACAAAAACAAAAGTTAACCTTGTATTCCCAAGTAACAAAATGACTTGACCTAATAGACTTTCTACACGGTTTCCTTTATTTTAGTTGTCTATTTCAGCATTATCCTTTACAATCTCTGTTAAAAGGCTTTTATTTGTAATAATCACACTGCGTTCTTGAATTTATTTTCAAGGGAATTCTCTATCCTACAGAAAATTCTATCTAGTACTCGTTTAAGTAGGGGTACAGTAAATTTCTACTGCATCACTGTCCTGAAAAACAGCTTCAAAATATAAAGAAAACAGGTATTAAAGGCCGTTTTCACGCCAGAAGAAAAACTACAGTCATAGCCTGCATTAGTAGACCTAGGAGATGTGCTGTTTTCATACTTAATGAAAAAAGGACTTCATTGCCATCCAATAAGGTCAGCATTGGAAAGATGTATGTGCCCTTGATGTTTTAAAGAACACATCAACACAAATTGGGATCCAACATGACAAAGCAAAATCAAGTACAGCAAGAGAGCAAGTAAGCCTCAATTAAGAGCCTGCCATTTCTGAAGAATGGAAACAGAACATTTTTAAAAAGGCCAGTGACTCACACGTGATCTATCAAATATAGAAGACCTCGGTGCTGCACTTGCCTGATGATCTGGAGCCATTAAGAACAGCATACGCCTCAGCAGAACACCCAAGGCTGAAACCTGGTAACACTCATTAGGCCAAGACTTTATCTAAATCAAGATAACAGAGAATACATTTAATTAGATTAAGGAGAAAAAAAACCCACTGTTCAGCAAATTAAACAGAGTGTTTCTAAGAGTTGTAAAACAAAAAAACAAAAGACGTTGGGTTGTACTTTAAGCAGCAGAAGGGATTATCCTTCAGCCAAGACAATATTTACCTTTCAAAGCACCACAAGAAACACTCACTGACATGTCATCAGCCATTACGGCAAGGGCTCTTCCTGGTTTACAATTAGTCCTTTTTTAATTTATTGTTTTCACCTATTCTTATATTCACCGATATTCTTAGCCCTAACACTCTCCACTGAGTATCCACTGATCTCCCGTTTAACTCTTCTCCATAAAGATCTCTGACATGGCGTGTGAGATCTCAGCAGTAGCACTCTAAATAAAACAATGCAGGGTATTTCAGAACTACTAGGTGCCTTGCTTGGGATTTTCACAGTACTGCTATTGCTAATTATTGATCATTTTGAGGAATTAAAACTTCATTTTGGATTGGGAAAAAATGAAAAGCTTGGCGTTGATCATAGAAAGGTTGCTGCAGAACTGGAGTTAAAGAGGTGCCAAATTCCAAATACCACAGTGGTTCTTACCAAATGGGCTATCACAAAAACGTGGTGGGCACACAGTTCAGCTGTTCCATACCTGCAATGTGCAAGGGAAAGAAGTTAATGGGGCTACACTTCCGCTAACTAAATATTTTAAGTTTTGTCTTAGAAATGACCATTTTTCCTGACATACTTGATAAACACAAATATAATTGAGAGAACTGTTCCAAAAAACAGTTACTAAATATCAGAAAAAAATTGTGTTCCCCTTGCACGAATATAAAAATGGCTGAATCTATTTCTATTCCTAATTTTTAAATCTGATCTTTTAAATCTCTATATCTGATTAGAATTCAGTTCTAGGACAATTTTATCTTAAATACCTCTCTCAAGGATTATGAGCAACAACATAACTAACTGGAACTGTTGATATCATGCTTGACCTATAACAAAAACATCTTACCGGGCAAGGAAACACCATGAATCCATAGCTAGCAAAGATGTGATCATACTAGAACCAAGCACAGCATCCAGCAAAGCACGCTCCTGTGGAGAAAATATATAGGTAAATTAAAACAGAAACTGATTGCAGGCTTACTGCATCATGTTTACTCTACTAAATAGCATAAAATCTAGTAAGATTTTCACCTTATTCAATTAAAATGCTTTAATAACTATATTTAATACTCTGTCTTCACTTGCAAGTTCAAGCAAGTAGATATATCTTCAGCTTTGCATATATTTTATTAAAATAAGCTAAAGGTACTTCATTTTTCAAGGTATTTCAATATGTGCATCCCTTCTTCACAAGGCATTATTTATGAAAATATTTTTTATGAATGTGTTATTTTTTTTTTGCCAGGTCTACCGGCAGTTTGCTGGAAAACACAAAAACTTCCCCCTTTGGGGAAACTAAATTTTATCTGAAAGGGGAATGTAGCATTCAGAAAAAAAAAGCTAAACTAATTTAACATTCATCTGGAAGCTTTCTTGTCTATGCTTGAGAAAAATCAAAAAACATAAAACTTTCAAAAAAATCTCATTTCATTTTATGGCATGGTTTTAAGTGGAATCACAATGATGCATTTTTAGCCTAATGATCTACTCTTGTTACCTTACAGTACAGACAAACAAAAACAAGCACATTTAATATTTGGAATACTGCATAAAAGATACTGCACTTTAAGCAACACTCCCCAAAGAGAACAAAGATTTCCAATAGAAACTATTGGTTCTCAACAACATGTATAAAGACTTTTTCCCCCCCCTCTCCCTTTAAATGACTTCTATTGCACAACCAAAATCCTTCTATTTAACCACATTATAGCTGTTCTCTAAAGAGTAATCAAACCCCTTCACAGGCATGACTTGTCCCCCTTTTTTTAAATATGTATGTATCACATCATCTGTTAAAAATCAATCAGCAAAAAAACAATCTTACCAGCTGAGGAAAGTGTGACGGGAGCGTGGAAGCAATGAAGGAGCAGAGGTGGACACAGACGTAATGATACAGGGTGATGGGAATCGCTGGCTGTCCTGTACCAATAGCCTCTGGCAAACAAACAGGGAGGGAGAGCTCGCCGGAACATTGCTGGAAACTGAGAAAAAGGGCCGAGTACAAAGACAAGCTGTAGCGGAAAAAAGGTAAAAAAAAAAAAAAAAAAAAAAAGACAAAAAGAGATAGTTAGGTTGCAGACATACAAATCCCAAACTCTTTAAACAACATCTATACTGTAGGATCCTTGCATCAGACTGCAAACTGCCAGTTACCTCAGTGCTACAGGTCTACATCCGTGATTACCTTCCTCTGTTTTACAAATTTAGGTGATTACAAGTGGGTTCAGGCATAAAATCCAACATCTTAACTTAGTGGAATATCAATAAATTACAGGCCCTTTTCTATGCTGGAAGGAAGCCAAACAACACCCCCTTCCTGAACAAAGGTATTCTGGGACCAAACAACAGACCCTGTTTTTCCCAGGATAAGAATATAAATGCGTAGAACTTGTTAATTTTACTATTTCTTTGCGAGGGGAACCTTAGCAATGGAGCCCCTCTCTTTGTCTGAGCAGCCTGACTGGTACAGTCAGGAATTACCATGAAATCTGTTTTAATACCTTCTTCCCGTGTTCCAGAGACTTTGCACTTCTTCAGGTTGAGAGGACAATTTATCCATTATGCCAATCAGCAGAAGACATTGGGGCAGTTGCTGCTCAGGAGGAAGACCTGTAGATAGATAGATAGATAGATAGATAGATAGATAGATAGATAAAAATATGAGGATAGTTGCCCTGGTAAGTATATTTTGCATGCATGTAAAGTAGTTTCTAAATAAGCGACAAATTACAAAGAAGTTGTGAAGAATAAAAGTTTCCAGCAAAACAATCAAAACCATTTTTGACACAGCCGATGCCAAACCAAAAAAAACAGTATTTTATCAAGAACACTATTCTTGAAGTGGAAAATAAACACTATATATACACTATTTCAGGAAAAAAAAAGTATTTCAATTCTCAACTGCTGCTAACATGTTCTGCAAAGCAGTTGCAATCCAGAAGCTTCGAGCTTCCAGCCTCCTCAAAAGCACTGGCGCTGTGTTCCACGGGTGCATCACTGTGGTCACGAGGCCAGATCACTTATGTGGGCAAGAAGGAAGCCCAGACTACAGACAGAAAAGGAGCAACTGATACTTATACCATAGCTCCCAAGAGGGAGCTCTGCTACGTCAGAATCATGGTATGTTGGTCAGAGTGGAAGCTTTCTGGACAGTTATGATCATCTCTAGTTGGAAGGCATTCAATACTTCGCAAAAAATAGCTGTTATCCCCCATCAATAGTGCAGAAAGAAACATTCAGCCTACTTCAAAAAACTGTGGCATAAATGTGGATTGAACAATGCAAAACAGCCAAATTCAGTAGGCTTTCTGTTAAACAGATTAGTATTGAAGTTACTGGCAGTACTTTGGAAAATACGTATTCAACAGCAACATGAACTCCCTGCTATAAAACTCATCTGAGTTAATATGCAGCTAGCATGAAAAAAGCTTAATAGCTACAAAAGGACAAGAAGCAAACAAATAAGTGCAGAATGTTGCCTAAGTACCTGTTACCCCTCCCCAAAAAAATCAATATCAAGTCTGATCCCTTAACAGTAGTTACATGTATTCTAAACCCACCTAATTTTTCACTTAACACTTGCTCCATAAAAGGGCTAAAGGGAAGAAGCTGGTTGATTAGCGGGTCTAGAGCCACAAGAAAAACTCTGGATATTTCATCTCGATGAACCTCTGAGATTACTGGAGCATAGAGACTGGGAGGAAACTTGCTGAGCAGGGCAGAAAAAAAGAAATAAGTTAAACACTCTCAGCAGCATTATTTAAAAAAAAATCAAGAAGGCAGATTCATGAGTTCACTATTATTGTGAATTAAAAGCCAAGACAGAAAAAGCTCCCTGTTTTATAATACCTACCAAAAGTGTGAGTTGCAACTCTGTTTTCAGCCTTTAAAACAAGCATGACAACCTAGTATTTTAATAAACACATAGAAGACAATCTTTCAACCTCACAAAAAATGCATGCAAAATATATAACATAAAAAAATCACAAAAAGGCAAACAATGTAAGTCAAAGAAACACTTGTAGATACAATTTAACTGTAATAGAGTTGGCAGTGCTCTAATTCAGGAAACAACATTAATAAAAGGGTACCCCTTAATTTATTTAAAAGGAAGAAAAGAGCAATAAATGAAAAAAAAAAGATGATATAAGAATAAAGCAAAAGAGATGATGAAATGAACTCCTTCTACTCTTGCAGCTTAGAAAGGGACTGGAAAATGCTACTCTCCTACTGAAAAAAGCCTACTTCTTTTTGCAGAGTGAATAAAAATCCACAACCTTCTGCTTAAGAAAGCTCTACAAGGTAAGTAAAGTCAGAAGAGGACGCTTGTAAAAAATAATCACCTGATTTTGTAGGAAAACATGCAGTTAAGTCATGCAAGGATCTTGCCATAGAACCTGGTCTCAATTCCAAAAGAATGACTGAAATCAGCCTTCTATTGTAAGTTCAGTTTATTCCTTGTTATGGCAGTAAACAGAACAAACAATTTTTGGAAGAGAAATGATAAGCAGTTTTCAGCCTGTGATAGAAAACACTTTTGATTTTCATAGCATAACATTAAAAAGCCTTTGCTTTTGGGGCAACCATGCAGTCCTTTCATGAGATTTCGTAAGGTTATAAGCACAACAGTTAAGCTGTGGAAGAATTTCAAAATACTCTGTTTCAAACTCTCTTCTGGCCAAACGTTTCTCACTTAGCTTGAAGAAGAAACAATCTGTCAAACTGTTCCTAATGATACCTGTGTGCAGATTTTGGGGATTTTTATCCTTTAATAGCATTTAAAAACAGAAGAAGAAAACATGCCCATCTAGCGACAGATGTAACAGGAAGGAACTGGTTGTTTCAAAGACTCCACGGTTGTTGTCTGACCTCCTTGCTAAGCTACTTCACTGCAGGATTGCCTGCAGGAATTCTGACTTTAGAGACTTCAAATGAACTTGCATTGACAGAACAAGGGCCCAAGCCAATCAACTGTTTAGTACAATAGATTTTTAGGAAATGTTGACTGAAGCAAGTGCAACAAAGTTAGGTTTGTTTTCTGTATCTGACACACACACACTGATTAAGAATGGGTTTAAGGTAACTAGTACTACATAAAAGATGCCCAACTGATCTGCCGAACTTCCCTAACCTGTGTACTTAAAAAAAAAAAAAAAATCAACAAACCCTGAAACAATATTTGTCATCTCAAAATACTTGCAACTTTAAAATGAAATATGTGTTTATATTCCTAAGATACCATCAATAAACAATTGTTCTTACTTCACTTACCTGTATATTTGAAGAAACAGCTGGTGTAATTGAGAGCACAAATCCGAGAAGAAAGAAAGAAATTCCTGCAAAAGCCATTCATTTTGAGCAATATTTTTAATATAAATTACATGATTGAACACATTTTTTTCCATTTTAGTACATTGGTGTGTAAAATGATACCTAGCAAAACATGATTAAATTCTAACCATCTCCAGTACAAAGCAGGTACAAAACGAATAAGGAATTTCTAAGGTTAATTACCTTGCATGTATATATATTCTATTTAAGACAGTTAGATTTATAGGCTCATTTAAAAAACTTAACAAGCACAGATGTAATAGCCATAGGAACTGCAAAAAACTGAAGTGCTCAAATACATGTTGTAAAGCTATTTTACTCTGTCATAATGCTATTCACTTTGTGCCAAAAAAATCAAAACCCTGCTTTTACCGCTGGGACAAAGCAGATACATAATAACCATCAATGTCTTCTGTCTCCTAAATGGTCACTTAGGTAAAACACAAAATACAGAGAGGAAATAGGGGAAGAGATTAGCAAGAAAATAAAGGAGAGGAAATAAGGAAAAAAAAAACCCGCAAGGAAAACAACAGATTATCTACCTATCAGAAGGGGATTTTCTCAAAAATGTTGTGGTAATCTTTCCCTCCTACGTGCTTCATGGAGAAAGGGTTTTGCTGAATGAATGATGGGATACAGGAATCTGTTGCCATTGTTGAGCAACAGAAAAATTGTTTTAACAGCTCTGGCCATTTCATGCAAGTTTGGAATTTTGTTTGACGCTAAATGGGATGAAGTGTTTGAAACGATTAGGTTTAGCAAATAATACCTTCTCAAATTACTTTACAAATAGATATTTAAATCTTTATATATCAGATTCCTGTTGAGAAATAGATCTATTTCACTTGTGCCGAGGATCAGCACAGCATCCCCTTCTGAAGACTGGAAAACTGAAGCACAGCAATACAGCGAGTTGGCCAGGCCAATGGAAGTTAGCTTCTGAGCTAGTAATACTACACTGACATTTCTAATCCTCAATGCTGCATCCAAGCTATTAGACAACGGTTGCCTCTTACATTATGTTGTCCCATGGCAAAAAGTTACTAATCGGCAAAGAAAAAGGTTTAGGTGAAATTAAAATGAACAGTCTTCTAAATCAGGACTCTCCTGACCAGAGTTTTTCTTGCAGCTAAGGCTGTGCAAATATTAGTTATTTTTTTTTTTCTTTTCAATCCATTAGGGATTTAAAACCCTAAGTCATTTCTGAGTCAGCTGAAAGAACTACAAGCAAGCTAGGCAGGGATGTTAATTATACCACCCACTGCGTGTAGTCATTAATTGGTAAGATATTATTGTGTACTATAATGACACAGTTTGCACAGCAGAGCTTTAAGTTTCGTACTAATGTAGGATTCAGGTATTAAATCTTACCTTGGTGTAGTGGACAAGAGAATTAGCTAAAAATCGGCAGAGTTTGACTGTCTTCTGGAATAGCTTGAGGTCAGTGCCCTCCTAAACCAAAAAAAAGTAGTTATAAAACCTTATCTAGAGAGAGTACTACAATCAAAAGAAAGTTAAAATTGCCAACATGCTCAAAACATATTTTGAAATTGATTCCCACACAATCCCCAGTAACAGAGGAAAAAACTTTGGAAGCCTCAGTATACCTCTCAAAACTTTTCATACTCATATTCAGAACTGAAATACTGTGGTTTTATTCTCCTTTGCATACAGTTTAGGAAACAAAGTTCCTGCAGAGGATGGTGAAAACTTATTTCCAATGCCTCACTGAAACATTCTGAATCTAAACAAATTATGGGCCTCATTTTTACACAGTTTGAAAAGAATGAGGTATCCTGCCCACCAAATGCATTAAAAAGCACTCCAAGCAATAAAAGAGCACAAAAATGTATCTTTTTCAAGTTTAAAAATCTCCTAAAACTGCTTTTGATTCACCTGTATATCCGACACCTTCATTTGCTCAGCCAGTTGCAAACAGGAGTGAAAAGAAAAAAGAGTATCATTGCACAGGCCACTGATGATTTCACTGTGTTTCAGATGGCCCTGAAGGAGGGCATGATGCTTCAGGCTTTGCCTGAAAGACAGAAATAGAATCAGAAATTTAATTGTCAGAAGTGATCACATAAAAATACAAATCCAGTTAACCTAATTAATCTGCTTAGGCTGTTATGCCACACAAATCAGTGTGGTATCTGTGAACACTAAAATGTCACCGTGCTCACAAGTCCAGAAATCTAGAGAGGATCAAAGCATGAAGAAAAGGTAGGAGAAAAGCACCAGACATCACAACTTGATCCAAAATAGAGATTTGCAGGTGAGGCCTTTTAAAACTATTCATTCGTACCATGGCATTTCAAACATTCTTCTGATATTAATGTAAAAAAACCAAAGTTTCTTTCACTTTTAAATGACAGATTCTTAACCACCTTCATTTAATTCTACACATTTGCTAAATTTCCACAGGAATTGAATTTTCTAAATTCAGCTGTATTTGAAACCCTGAACATAAAACATGGGTTATTTAAAATCAGAGTCCAGTCATACTACAATGACATTCAAAGGGTTCAAAGACATACTTGATTATGAACTTCCATGTGTTTGCATGGATCGCATGGTCCATATTGGAAATGACAGAGCAGATCTCCAGCACACTGTGGATTACTGTGGAGGAAATAACGGCAAACCCAAGTTAAAGCAGATTCCTCAGATCACAGCTACTACTAACTACAGAACACCACAGCAGCAGCACTGGATCAGGAAAATGGCTCAGTGCAGCAGTTCTGCCCATTTCCTACAACCTGGACCTACATCCCACATGTAACACAGAAAATTTCAGGAAGAAACCAGAAATATTTCAAGAAGCAAAATGCTGCCATCAGAAGAGCTGGTCAAGAGAACAGAACTGAGCAGGCTCAAAACTCTATCTTAAAAGTGCTAACTCACTAGAAATAGAAGACTGGGTAAGGCTAAAAAAAAAATCTTTAGATCTGTGTGTACCTGATACCATATCTGCAATGTTATCTTCACTAGAAGCAGAGCCCAGAGAAATTGTATCAAGTAGTTCCATCAGCTGTTTCTGAAGAGAATATGTTTCCTTGAACATAGCTTGTAGGAGGTCAGAAATCAAGTGCAGATGCCCACAGTACACTGATTCACTGTCCTGCAGGAAAGGGGGAAGAGTTGAAAAAAAAATAAAAACAAAACACTTCTGGAATCACAGCCTGGTCTTTAATCTGTAGATAATACTGAAAGCTTTATTATGCACTTCACTGGAAAAAAAAAAGGAAAAAAAAAAGGCCTAAATACACTTAGTTCAACTCATTACTCAGCAAGAGTAGCTTCTGATACCAACTTCTGCTTGTTATGTACTAACTATAAAATGCACTCTAATCCACAGCTAATGAAAATTGCCTGGCTCTAAAGAATTCCATGGACTTTGGATTAGACTTTGATTAATGAATTTAATATCAGATTTTCAAACAAAACTGTTGCTGTTAATGACAGCAAAAGTTGCATTTCAAATATTTCCCAATATATTCAAATTATAAATGGTAAATAAAGGAATGGAATGTGCAGAAGGACAGACTTAAAAGTGAAAAGGCAGACCAAAAGCTATTGAGTCCTGTGATAAGCTTATTTATTTATACTGCTTCAGAGGCAAATATTATCAGCACAGTGACAACTACTTCCTCTGAGAATGCAAGTATGACACTCACATGCATTACTTACCATAAGTAAAATCAGGATCAACTTTTCAGTCTGCTTTGGAACTTGCACAGAAATAGGGCAAATAACACATTAACCATCTATAGCTCTGAAACTACTGCAGCCATTGGAAGTGCACAGAGGGCCTAAACTCTTAGACAAAATATTTGATTGACACTGATGAAAAATATGGAAATAATGCAGTCTGTCTTTCAGCAGCAGGCCAAATTCACTGGGCAGAGAGTTGAAAACCTTGGCACTACTCACATACTGTAAATGATTTAATAAACCAGTAATAAAAAAAATCTACTGCAATATTTTTCAAAAAATAGATCTTCTTGCAAAGGAATGCTTTGTAAAACACAGGTAAAATAACTTTTCTTCTGCTAACATAGACCTACCTTACAGTGTGTAAAAGTGTTCTTTATCACGTAAAGAACAGAGGACGGGAGGGTGCGGATGCTCTCCAGAGGCACACGCGCTTGGAGCGTGCAGACGAACCGCACGCAGCTGGTCAGAGTCTCCAGCAGCTGCACCACAGTCTGAAAGCACAATGAAACAACAAAAACCAGCAAAGATACCAGCTTTGATGATAGTTTCAAAAGCAGCTTTTCTTAGCCGGCTTGCTAGATGATGATAGCTAAAATTAACTGCTTTTTCTATAAGTAATTACTTTACTAAGGATGAATGAAACTCCACAAAATTATCTGAATCAATTTCAGAACTCTTCTGCAATACCATATATTTTTTAACATGAAAACTTCATATTTCTTTTGGCTACTGTTTTCAAATTAAAAAAAAATCACTTGGAATTAAGGGACTATATAAACAGATGCTGTCTGAATATGGAGTCACATGCCATTTGCATTACAGACTAAGAGTAAAAACTGTTTTATTTTTATTCTGATTAACATTACATACTGACTAATTAAATGATATAGAAAATCTTAATTAAACAGCAAATGCAAATGAAGATCAAAATACACTCTAACCAGCTGATTAGTAGGCAGCAAATATATTCCCAAAACATTTTTCCTGCTTAGGTTAAAATAAAGATAAAATTAAATAAAATTAAATAAATATATATTGCTTTGACAGCTTTCATAAGACTTACCTGTAAGAGATCCCTTAAAGTACTGCATAATTCTGTATTCTGGCTGGTTAAATCTTTGGCCTGATTGGATAATTCATACATCAAGTTATCGAATAACTGTAGAGTCTGTCAGAACAAAACAAATGTAAAACATTTTACTTACAAACATATTCCCACAAATAACAACATCACCATGCATCTGCTCGATTTCTTGGCACGGAGTCATAAAGAGATATGTCACAGGATACAGTGTTTTCTAGTCTAACATGAAATATGTAGTGTGACATGCAAAACTGAAAAACATCACTTCTCTAATTATAGATATCTGTTACTAGCCATAAGTAATAACACTTTATTTAAAGCATTTGCTGTCTGGTAGTAAAGGTAACTTCCTGGCTAATTTGCTTAAAATAATGTATCTTATTTTGCTGAAGAGTTTTTAATTTGGTTTTAACCAGATCATTTTAAGATAGAATGATTTTTGTCTCAGAAAAGTAGGTTTTTATTCTAAAAAAAGAACATTAATATTTTAATAAACAAAGAAATAGAATCATATGACCATCAAACAACAATAATTTCTACTTCATCTGAGACCCTTGGATACAAGTGCTGCTGCTCAGTAGTTTTTTAACACTGAATTAACAACAACCAAAATTTAGCTGAAATCAACATACCTTAGGCAATACTTTTGAGAAAAATGTTTGTTCCAATTCTACAATACTGATATGAGGCAAAAACATTTCAGTTAGGATCTTCAAAACACCTGCAAAGCAAAATACTTAATTACAGAAAAACAACGCACAATTATCAGAACGTCTGGCAACCTACTACATAAAACAACAACAAAACATCCCTATGTCAAACAGATCAGTTATTTAATTTTGAGAAAAGCAACATAACACTCACCACACACAAATTATCTAAAAAAAAAAAAAGAAAAAAAGTCAAACAAGAATAAAGGCTGCACCATAATTTAGTATGACATGACATCCCTTTAGTGTCATCACTGGACTACACTCAGTTGAAAGCCAAGCACAATCATTTGTCCACAAGAAAAAGAGTCTTAAATGTATGAGCTCTTCATGTTTTTTTATAAAGCCTGTTCAGCATGTAATTGCTGCAGTGTGCAAGGTCCAAGAGCAGGAAAGCACGTAAATTACCAGTTATAACACAAGTATTTTAAGCCACCATGAACCCCGCGTAAGGAGAAGAGGGGCATGTCTCGATCCCTACTTACGAATATGCTCAGTCCGGTCTTCAGACTCTTGATACATGGAGTAAAGACATTAAGGAAACTCAAACTTAAGTTTATTCCCAGCCCCTTTGCCCAAGCCCCTGGGGCTCCTCACACGCGGCCGCGCGCACGTTTTCCCCACTGCGTGAAATGAGGGCAGCTGCTCAGGCACGAGGCGGCAGATGGGCGCCTGCACGTGCAGGATCGGGGCATTTCTGTAACGTGAGGCGGGATAAGCGGCGGGGGTGACGGATATACACTTGGACTTGATGATTTTGAAGGTCTTTTCCAATCATCATGATTTATGATATGTCACGGAAAAGTGCTAACCGAGCCACACGGTACTTTCTCCTCAAGTGTTCAGGTGACGAGCGGGACATTTCCTCCCCGCGCCGCTGCTGCGCCGCCTTCCCCGCGCGTTCTCCCCACGCGCGGAGGGGGAAAC